GTTTACGTATTTTTGTATGAATAGTGAAATATGTAAATCAGAAAACGTAAACGCGGTCACGGAGTGATTTTGTTAATGACATCCCCAAAACCATAAAGTCCATGTAAGCAGTAGTCTCTATAATATTATCCCGTCGGAGCCATGTAAACTAAAATCCTTAGACATATATTAAATATTCAGTCAAGAACTGTCAGTATAGCCACATTTAAATAATTTTGAAGAACACTGCCGAGTTGGCAGGCCTTAGATCTCATCAAATCCGGTTTTGTTGAAGGTTCCGGTGACATTAACCCTACTGCCGTGCGAACGATCTATCAGCCCTTTAATTCCTTTTGGTTTTTTAACCACCTCTGCAAAGACCTCCTTTCTGGACCACTGCAGTATATTTCTAACTGAGGTCTTTGCTTTGCGGAAGCGCCTCCAATGCACCTGTAGGCAATTCCAGAGTCAACATCTACGTAAACAAGCAGCAATTAAGGCAGTAATCTCGTATCGCAAATCGGCCAGAAGTGTCTTCGGAAGCAGGGCAGCAGCGGAAAGTGTCTTCAGAAGAAACACCTTTACTTCTACTGGGTGCCAGGCCACAAAGGCATCGAGGGCAATGAAGTGAACGAAATTGCCAGCTCGACCTGCATGCAAAACAGCAAAAGTCACGTGCAACACTTTGCACTTGATAGAAGAGACTGTAGGAACATGATCGGAATACTAACTGGTCACTGTTTGGTTGGGACACACGCCCGCAGTATGGAGTTGACAGATCGGGAGACTGCAAGAAATGTCTAGAGTAGGACACCAGTTTGTCCCTGATAATATTTTTCGTCTTAGGGCCATATCAACAAAAATTGTTGCCGAGTAGCGGGCTGCTTTGAAAACTCCGGGCTCCGAATAAATTTTCCCCGATCTGTCCGCTTTGTCGGTTACTACCGCTATGTATCGACAGGATATGATACTAAGTTCGCAAAGCAGACCATGACTGTACGTCAATAAAGATACTAGAATACGGATTTGTCTTTCCCACACAAACGCGATAAGGATTCCATTCCTTAGATGGGTGACAATCGATTTTTTGGCGATAGAGAAATCGAATCGTCAAAATACTTATAATTTTCATTAATGAAAACAATACTGTTATTTTTGGTGTTCCAACTGCATAAGTCTTCTACAAAAAGCTTTAGACAATAGAGCCAGGGGCCAAGCTTTGGGCGCTTCTGTTACGATTATGTAGCAATCCAGTCTGCTAAGCGGCAAAGCAGATGCTAGCTTCTTACTCGTAAGCCCCCAAGCTTAGGTAGGATAGGTCATAGTTATACCCAAACTATTTGATATCTTGATGACCTTCACCTGCGCCATCGGAGCTATCTCGGTTTCTGGTTCAATTATTATTTGTGTCGAGAATCTATGACCGCTCGAATATGACTCATTAGTGCCGCAGTTAAACAATTGACCTTGAGATGATAGATTTTCGGCTACCAAATTTTATAAATTGATAACAGCACAGCCATAACGCACGCGTGCTACGTGTGACTAGCGCGATAAGAAAGCATAAAAGCCATGGGTAGTGACCCACGCCAAACATATATTTTTAACACACTCGAAAATTTTATTAGATATTATATTTTAACTTAATTTCACAATTAAGTAAAAGTTGCTTTTAATTTGCCTCACTTTGCTGTCAACAGCTGAGCGTGACTTATTTGGCCCCCCCAAAAGCGCCGTTTGTTCATTAAACGCTGTGGAGCGAACAGCTGTCAGTGCTAGCGTGTTTTTGGAAACATATGTATGTACACATGTGCGTGTATGTGTATGTGTGTTTGCAAATCACCTCACATTCACTTGGCCGTGCCGCCGCCGCACGCCATGCTCTCTACACGTGACGTAATAATGACGTTGCATTTGTCGATCAAGGTAATTATTTTGCAATAACAATTTAGCGCAGTAACAGTGCAAATAGTTGTTGTTCCAGCTTGTATGCAGGCATATGTGAGTGTATATGTGTATGTGTGTGTGTGCTTGTACTTGCTTCAAACTTTGAAGTCTTTACCGATTCGTAAAGTACTCGCTTGTGCTTCGTATGTGTTCTTTATATGTCCATATGTATGTATGTGAGTCAGTTTTTATATATGTATGTATATGTGTGTGTATGTGTTTATTTATCTGTACGACATTGACAGTGACATTGCCATATAACTTGTACACGCTCCAACTTACCCTTGACCAAAAGCATAACTTTACGTGGCAACTTCAATTTGTTCACCATATCCTGCAACGAAGTGGCGCCGATCACTTTTGTGCCCTTGGCCTCGTTCTGCAGAAATTGGTTGACCTAACGTGCCGTAAATGTGAAAGCAAAGTCAAGTTATTTCAGGTTTAGCGGTATATGTAACTCTCACTCACCTTCTCGACGGTACGATTGTAGGCGCAAACCACGAAACCATTATCATTCATGTTCAAGATCAGGTTCTGACCCATAACGGCCAAACCGATCAAGGCAATATCTGCTTTACTGCAAAAACAAAGATTAAAGTGGTCAGAAATGAGCGAAAAAGCAATAACAACATTTGCATTAAGGGACGTTTTCTCAATAACTGGTTAATAACCAGCTATCAGTTAAATTCTGGTTAAAAAAATGCTTATTGACCGATAGAAAATGGTTAGGCTAACCAGTACTTAACTGATAGATGACTGCTAAGCAGACATTGAGAAACGACTCTAGTAAAATAAATATGGCATATCTATAAATAATATATTTCTTGTAATTCTATATACATATCTATCTATATACATATATATAATATATATAACAAGAATTTAGCGGTTGCACTGGCTATTAACGAATTTTATATACATATATGTACAAACATATGTATATAGGTACATACGTTTGTCTATATAATTTTTGCACCGATTTTCCCTTTTATATATGTATGCAACTCATCAATAGCCGACCGCTAACCCATAGTTATGGCGTGAGCCGCTGTGCGCTGTGATAATTGCAAACATACATACATATGTACATACACACATTCACACATAAAATAAAAATGTGTATTTTACACTTGAAACGTGCGATGGCTTGCTTCTGCTCATACTCATATACTTACGCTGACATGTTGTTTTTATTATTGTTGCTCGAACTTATTACTTTTCAAATATACGATTATTGCACACTTGGCCCTTTCCACACCGTTTATTGATCACAACACCGTGTTTTGCCGCAGCGTTTATTCACTCACTAGCTATTCGCGTTTTTTTTTTTTTTTTTTTTTTTTTTTTTTTTTTCCTCTTTTTTTTTTTTTTTTTTTTTTTTTTTTTTTTTTTTGTTGTTTGGCTCCACCGCTCACTTTCGCGTCCGGTTGGCGTACTTTACTTGTTGGCAATCGCGCGTTTACTGAACATTGAAATCGGTGGAAAAGTCATACGAGCATGGCAGCCGGCAAAAGTAGTGTACTCATCAGCATGCGCATGGAAGGAGGAAACCAAAAGGTGACACCGATAATGTGGAGCTTTAGTTTTTGGGGTTGAGCTTTGACGTTTGGCGGTGCTTTTTTGGCACCAACAAGCATTCAAAGTAATTTATTCAAATTTTGAGTTTTAGTTGATAAATTTAAAATTGAAATTTATATTGTTTATGCGCACGAAATAGAGTCGTTTAATACGTGTGGAGCTTTCAAGTAGTTTACAAAAACAGAATTAAGTAAGTCATTTATCTTCATTTAGTTTAGAGGTCACTTGAGAGGCATTTACTTCATTTCTGTACTATTTAGAAGTTAGTATATTTCAACAAAAAAAAAAGCTTTCTAGCATACTCAGGCCTGTTTTCTCAATGTCTGCTTAACAATTATCCGTCAGTTAATTTTTGTTTAACTCAACAAAGACTCCTTTTTTCGGTAAAGTCACTTAGAACTTGACTTACAAATGATCGCTAAGAAAATATTGAAAAAACGACCATAAAATTTGTGATAAGTGAGCGCACAAATGAGAGACGAATTGAGGTTATGTCGATTTCGAACTTTTTTTTTTTTTTAATAAATTCTGTTGTACTTTACTAAACCGCTGATTTTTGGAGAGAAAAGTTATAAAATATTTTGTAAACACAGTAAATGTGGTTATTTTGACTGTTTTTCGGTAGAGAGTTTCTCTTAAGATCTGAGCATAAGACAAATCTGCTGGGCATCATACCCAGAGTATATAATGAATGCCAAAAATATCGTAATTCATGAAAATTTTCTGCCCATTTTATTGATTTGTGACACTGTAAATGACTCGATTATGAGCACCACCCCCTCTACACAGAGCTTTCGCATACCCAAATGTTCATGAACGATAGGTCTATCACGTTTCTTTGATAGCTTTAACTTAATGGCTGTATCAATCACAATTACAAACACAATCTAAGTAATCTCAAAAAGCAATATATGTATTTATTGAGTTTATCGCCTTCGTCGCTCTTATGGCCTGTACGAAATTACTAACGTATGTTTACTTCATAGAGCGTAGTTTACACTAATATGGGATATGCCACATTTTTTGTCAGTTTTCCAAGCTCTTTATTTCCAATATTTTTTCCAATTCATGCAGCACTCAAAGACCTACATAGATATCAAGCATCAATACACGTGCCCGTCCGCTTATTTGACCAATTTTACATCACTTTGGTTCTGCTTGAGATTTTTTCTTTAATTCTTGAAGTTAAGAAACAAAAAGAAGTCATTAAAGGTTTGACCGGCATTTTAATAAATATTTATAAAATCGATGTTTACTTCTTTCAGAAATTGTATTACTAGTAGCGCTCTGTGAGAGCTCTCGTGACAACACGATACTTAATTTTTAGCATTTGGCATTAAACGTTTCACTTTGGTTACTTGTATGGTAGATATATGAGCATTAGAGCCAAAAAATATACACATGCTTTTCCTTAAGAATTGGAACCCTAAATTAAGTTGCGGTTACCATAGCACTAGTAGTGAGTATCATTTTCCAAATTAAATTGAAGTCAAGTACTTAGTTCTGCCATAAGTTCTGTTAAAAGTTCAAAACGTCTTTAAATCAGACTCCTCACTAAACCATTACTGCACCTAGATGGTGACCACGTAGCTCACTTAGAATAATATTTTTTGCATCTTGTTAAGTTTTTACGAAAACTTTGTCGCTTTGCTTGTTAAAACTTCTTCAACAGTGAGCATTTCTTCAGCTGTTGCAATGATACTTTAATGAGCGTTGATCACGTGCCATTGACGCAGCTGCTTGCATCTGTTGAACTTAGTTTGGTTCAATCGCATTGTCAGAAGCGCCTAGTTGACTGACGATGAGCTTTTATACAGGGATCAGCACGAATAAGTCTTGACATTAATTTGGTCGACATAGCCATTTTCTTTCATAGAATTTTTTTGTTTTGTTGGGAAATTTTTGCGAATGCGGTCGCGCGGTTCAGGGATGAATTGGTTCGAACAACGCGTAGAAGACCACTTCTGTTGCTGTCGTAAACTGTAGGCATTCGGCAAAAACGATCAGTTGTGCAGTAGGTATTAAGAGTTTTGAGAAGTACATATTAAAGCAATCGCCGCAAGACGATTTACTTCAGCGCGCCATATATTTTTAAAGGGCTATTCTAGTCTAGAAATTTGAAAACATCGAACTTTTTTCATAATTCGATACTACGATTTTTCGAACTACACATTTTTCGAATTTATAGACGTTTTAGTAAAATCCAGTTTTTCAGCTTCTTGAGAATCCATCATTGTTTTATTTTTCACATGACCACAAGGGTAGAAATCATGCGAACGGGAACATGGTCCCTCTGCTTCAAGGACGCATAACGCAGTAATTTTTTTTAAATTCATTTTGTGTGATCTTCAGATATAAATAAGCAAATTATCAAAATACAGATAGTAAAAATACGATTTTTTTTAAGCGATTGCCAAAAAATGCTCGAAACTCGGGCGTCTAGACCTAAATAGCATCTTAATAAATGAAATCAAACACTGAACTGATTATCCAACACTTTTTTCGAATTCATCCTAGCATTGTAAACTTTGCAACATAATATTGGCTAGATTAAATAGTCTGTGAGAAACGAAAAGCGGACCCCACGAGCTGCTTCATACAGTGGCGGATCCACAGGGGGAGCGGGGTTGGTGCTGCTTTGGGGTTAAAACACCCCCTAAACTCAGAAAAAAATACATGTTTGTTGCATAATTAACTCATTCTTTTCAACAGTATAATATGACTTTTCGCAATTCAACTATCCTTATACCCATTTTTGTGCACAAGACAAAACGTCACCCCCCAAAAAATTTTTCTGAATCCGCCACTGGCTACATATGTAGTCCATTTTTTAACAGCCTCACTATAATTCTATATTTCTGAAGTTTTTAAAATTTTGTAAAGCTGGTTATCATACTCTTAGTAGTTTTGAAAATTGGATGATAAAAGCGCCTCTTTTTCGAAAAGTTTAAAAAATAATCTGCGTCAACACTTTTCATAAATATTTAGACAAGTTTTAAGATTTTAAGAAAGGAAAAGTACACGAGGATTTGTGAAATGTGAAGATTATTATGTATTTAGTCTTTATGCAGGATAATATCATGGTGGAAAATTTTCAAATCGGCCTCCTACATACATACATACATACTTTATTGCGTTTTATCGGGTGATTTTTTAAGAGCTTGATAACTTTTTTAAAAAAAAAAA